ATAGACATTGATATAGATATATATTTAGATATAGATGTAGATATAGGTGATATGTAGACATAGTGATATATTTATTGATATAGTTATAGTTATAGATATAGATGTAGAGATAGACTTAGATACAGGTATTTTTATAAAATATAATTATCTTGATATTGAGAGAGAGGACATTAGAGGGATAGAGAGAAACATACACAAGAGAATCATTGATTGGCTGCCACCTGTATGGGCCCCACTGGGGATGGAGAATGTAACCCCATCATCTGACCTCACCAGTTATTAAACCAGTAAGTTCTTGCTTCCTATGTCAATGGTCAACCGTTGTGTCACATGAGCCAGGCTGGATCTTCTTTCTTTGTCCTCACCTAAGGATGTGTTCATTGATTTTTAGGGGGAAAGGAAAGGAGAGAGAGAAGGAGAGAGAGAAACATTGATGTGAGAGAGAAATGTTGATCAGTTGCCTTCCATATATGCCCATACTGTGAATCAAACAATCAACATTTTTTTATTTATGTATTTATTTGTTTAAATATTCCTTAATTGATATGAGAGAGGAATGGAGAGGTAGAGAGAGAGAAATATCAATGATTAGAGAGAATAATTGATTGGCTTCCTCCTGGGTGCCCCATACTGGAGATGTTGTTGGCAACCTGGACATGTGCCCTGACTGGGAGTTGAACCATGACCTCCTGGTTCATAGGTCAACTACTGAGCCATGCTGGCGGGGCTCTACCTGCACTTTTAGGATTCACAGAGCTCCCTGTGCACGTAGGCTCTGGTCAATGAGATGTTGGCAACATTGTTCGTGCAAGGGGCTTGGCCCTCCACTGCCTCTTGGGCTTCATCTGGAAGGTCATCTGGTCTAATTAGCAACATCATAGGTGGCCAGGCCCCAGACCTTCCCTGACTGCCCTCTGACCACACTGGCCATGGGCCTGTCCACCACCATGCTCTGAAGCTCACAGGCCCCTGGAGGTTCCCAATTACAGATCATTTAGGCATAGATATGAAGGTAGACATAGATAGATCTTCTTTTCTTTGTCCTTGCCTAAGAATATGTTCATTGATTCATAGAAAGAGGTGCTCTAAGCTCAGTGCTCAGCGGTGTCTCCACCTGACACAGAAGGGGCCCCCACAACCGGACATAACTGGCCTGAGGGTCCCAGCCCTGGCGTCTCAGGGAAGGCCAAGCACAGGAGATGGGTATGATGGGATGACATGGGGCTGTATTTAAGGCAAACCCTACCAGGGCAGCAATGAGTGGGCAGATACATTCACACGGACGTCCTATGCAGGCCCCATTGGGTGAGAGTGTCAGCTGTAGAGGACAGAGAGTTAGGATGGGATGGTGTCTGCAGAGGTGGAGGCACAGCAGAGAAGGGTGGGACCATGTCTCCCTTCAGCAGGTCTCATGATCCAGGTGGATTCTCCAGGGGAGGCAGCAGTCCCTTGGGACCAGGTTTTGAGACCCATGGGGAACATGGGCTGGACGC